TATGAAGAAAACAAAACAACAGCTATGATAGCAACCACCACCGCCTGCACCTACCGAGTCTGGCCATACTGATGAGCACACAATCCCTTTGCGCCTACCTTTGGTCCAGCCACCGACCAACCATTGCAATTCCTCCACTTGTGAGGATCGTCCAATCTCACTGTGTTACCACTAGCAGCCGTGCTGAGTGTCCCATGAATTTCTACGTCATGGGGAGAGTTTGTAGATAGTTAGTTAGAACTAGTCGTATATCGTGGCATTCCCCATGAGAGCGGATCCATACGCACTCGTGGGGAGCGATAAAGTCTCGGAGCGAGAGCTCTGGATCCTCAGAGATAGCTCAACACTATGCTGGCCTACAGCTCCCGCACCCAAGCTGGCTTACTCCAGCCAAAAGCAGCAAGAAAGGATCGTCCTTCCATCATAGTTAAGAAAAAGTAGAGAAGATTGAGACCAGATCCAATTAGCTTGTAGACCATTGATACACGCAAGCAGTTGATAACTAATCCTGTTGAGGCGGGAAGAAGCAGTAGGAGTAGCAGATAGTACTGTCCATGACGCCACTGCACGATTTAATAACGAAGGCTCCCAGCCCTGAGGAGACTGGCCCAAAGCTGCCCAGCAGAGAGCTCTGCTGGCCCTCCTGTCTGACTGACAGGCCAAGTCCTTGGTTTGGTGCCTACTGGAGGTGTTGGATACCCTGAGGCACGACAAGGCTCCCCTGAACTGCCTGATCTACCGCTGTCCCTGAGGAAGGGTTTCAGCGAGTCCAGTCCACTACTTGAGTATTGGAACATGATACCTTCCAAGAAATTATTGACCTCCACCACCACCGGAACCAGTTGTATCTGGAGCGGGAGTCGTGGTCGTACCGCCGGATCGAGGCTGTTTCCACCAGCAGGAGCTGGAGCTGGCGAGGCAGCCGGAGCTGGCGTCGCAGCAGGTGTTGGAAGCTTCCAGGATCCGACGTGACCAATCGGAGGTGGACGTACAACCGGGGTAGTACTGACAGCTGATGGAGCAGTCTGCGGGGGAACGCGAGGCGTTGCCTGGAACAGACGCTGGGTCGTTGTGCGTCACCATGAGCTTGAGTTTGCGCAAATTGTACAGCGCGAGCTCGTTCCGTGGGAGTTGCAACGGGCGGTAGCTCGTCAACAACGGGGTCCCTAGGAATTTGCATACGTTCTTGGTATTCGAGGTCGCTCATACCAAACATACCGGAAGACCTACGTGTAGCACGATAAGGTAGCGGTGTCTGGTTGTTGTAGTTGGGGGTGTAAAATACTCGTTAGTTTAACAAACTATGGCCACGGAGTGGCTTTTGTGACCGGGCAATGGTGGGGAACCCCCACCTAGCTGAAGTCGTCATCTACTTATTTGCCCAATCAACATGACCTCATCCACTGGCCCAACGTGGAGCCAGCACCAAGTAGACAGATGCCCTGGGTAGGGGGTGAGCACATTGATAGGGAACCTGCAGCGCAAAACCTGGGTTACAGGGGCTTACACAGGATTTTTGTCGGTATTGAAACCATTATCACCATAGGGACCGTGAGGACCAGTTAGATTGCCAGACCAAAGAGTGCTCGCCAGTAAGTGTGTCTGGGTGATCAGGTCCCAAGCTGTGGCAAGGGCCTTGGCATGCAAGGCAAGATGCCAGCAGAGCCCGTAGGAGGTGGTACTCCTCAGGCTGGACCAGAGCAGGGTGTAACCCATCCAATGCACAAAAATTGTTAGATAGAGGCCAACAAGCAGGCAGAGATGGGGTCAAATGACACTGGCAGTGTGTGGTTCCAAGAGGGAGGCACAGTGGCTGCTGGAGTGTTGTGGGCTGTTCGAGGGTTGTTGAGTCAATAGAAGGAGGATAAGGGGGCACTGGAAGTGGGCTGGTGCCAAGGGCAGGAGGGGAGATCCTGTTGGTGTTGGAGTGTTGTTGTAGGAGTTGGGATGTAGCATGGTTTGATGGTGTGTTGTAGGATAGAGGCGTGCCTGGTTCAAGGGTGAGAACAAAGGCATCCTCCCTGATAGGGTAGGGTTGATTCGGAAGGGTGTGATCTCAAGATGGCTGCATACTCTAGGAGCTGTTGGCTGATCATCTGGGGAGTGGTGTTGTGAAGTCTGCGGAGGATGGTGGATGTGGTTGGTTGGGTGAAGTGGGGAGTGGGGGAATGTCTGGAGGACCTTGGGTTGAGTGAAGTAGTGGGTAGACATGGGGAAGTCATGGTGGGTGGTAGGTGGGTTGTGGTGGGAGAGTGTGTATCCTGGAGTGTTGACTGTAGTGTCGTTGCTTCAACTCAAGCAATGGAGGTTGCTTGTGAGGTGGCGAGATTATTGATGTAGAAGGGTGTATTCAAGGGGCAATGCACTGGGCACTGGTAATCAAGGTTTATATCAAGTTGTTGGGTGTTGTTGCCACTGGATCAAAGGCTGTGGCCAAGTCTGGTGCAGGTATACCACTACCTGCAGGAGAAGATGGTATCAGAGCCAAAGGCTGTTAGGGATTCTTTCAGGGAAACTGGAGAAGTCACGCTATAGCCAGTAGAGGCAGTGGTGGGGGATAAGGGGTGTTGTTGGGTTGATGGGGCTGTGTTACTGGGTGACACTGTGTTGTCTCAAGGCTGTACTCAATCTGTTGTAGGGATGCAAAATGCAACAGAGAGTCAAGCCAAGATGTGGAAAGGTACTCGATTCAGGTGGAACTGTGGAAAGTCACTGGAGAGTCACTCAACAATCAATGAGAGAGAGATAGAGTCAGTTATGTATTAATATCTATGCCACACCACGCTGCAGTGCTGTCTGGGGCTCAATCCTTTGGAGTTCCTGAGGCTCAGTAGAGAGTCAGGTGCAGTAGCAGAGAGGTGGCTGTGTCAATGAAGTGTGTTGCACAATCTAGCCAAACACGCTAGAGGGGCAACTTTTGTTGGTTCTTGTGGGGGTGGATCCTTTGGAGAGGAGCTGGGTATCCCAGGGAGGGGCTGAAACTATAAAATCAGCCAAGCCTGAGATACAAGAACTAAGTCCTTACAGGACTCTGTTGTTGTTGTTGTTCCTCTTGGAGAGGAGTTAGATATCAATGGAGGGGTGGTAACAGTAGCAGGTGTCGATCAGTCACTCAGTCTTGTATAGGGATAGGACTGGTTGGATCAGTAGGATCAGTTCCAACAAGGACGTCGGGAGAAACCACTAGTGGCCGGTTAGAAAGTAAGAATACAGGTGTAATTCTCTTCTCGGAGTCACTGCAGGTATCTCGTGAAGTCCTTCTTGATGATAGGAGGCTTCGTACGGAGGAAGAGGTACGGTCGTGGGAAGATTGATCGATTCACGAGTAGCGAGTCTTGGATTCGATTCGATTCGTTGAATCGAGTCGATTCGCGTTCGGGTGAGTCAGTGACAATGGGATTCTTCGGCCGTCAGGAGCTTAGTTCAGAAAGCAACAATGACACGTATGGGAGTTGTTTTCTGTACTGTGCTGTGGAAGGCCGGAGACTTCTCTTGTGTGTCAATTCTTAGGATCGTTCCAACAAGGACGTCGGGGAAACCAAGAGTGGCCGGTGAGAAAGTAAGAAATACAGCTGTGTTTCTGTTCTCGACGTCACTGCAGGTATCTCGTGAAGTCCTTCTTGATGATAGAGGCTGTCTTTCGATCCGTACGAGGAGTAGGTCGGAGGAAGAGGTACGAAGAGGTACGGTCGTGGGAAGATCGATCGATTCACGGAGGTGAGTCTTGATTCGAGGATCGATTCGATAAGATCGATTCGATTCGCGATTGAAGATTCGATGAGTCAGTTGCCTTAGGGGAAGGTTAACGAGCCTGTTGTTGTTGCGGAGTCGATCGTTCGAAAAGGATCGGCCGACAATGGATTTCTTGGGCCGTCGGCAGTGAGAGAACAGCAAGTAACAAATGAGTATGTGTTTCTCTGCTCGTCTGGTACTGCAGAAGGCCGGACTTCTTCTTGTGTGCAATTTCTTTCAACTGGGCCGTCGGCGGTCGAGAATAGAAAACCCGCCCGATCTCGTAGGATTTCAATTGGGATGGCTTTCTAATCTGGACCGGAGAAAGCCGCGTTGATAGTCGCTTGATAGAGGAGGTGCGCTTGATGGAGATAGGAGGTATCGATCCTTTTGGCTTGAATAGGGTGTAAAGAGAGGGAAAAAGGGTGTATGTTTTCGTGATGACGTTGAGTTGATTCCTATAGTAAAACAGTACTCTTCAACGAAATAACAGATAACAAGCTTCCTGAGGTCCTTTCACTTCGTTTCAATGCTTCTAATGGTGCTAATAGGTAGTGTAATGGTATAGGTATGACCGATTGGTTGTGTTTGTTGCTATTAGTGTTGTTGTTGTTCTTGTATTGACAGATCCAGAGGGGAAGCGCTTCGGTGTTCGGCTTCCCTTGAAAAAGTGTCTGGTTGTTGTAGTTGGTCGTCATGGTGATCTTGTTGTTGTTCTAGTCGTTTTCTCGCTGTGTGCTAGCTCGATTTCGACGTCGAAAAAACATCACCTTGTTCAGGATCTCTCTGGTGAGATCACGGGGGTGTCAGATTGACCAGGAGGTGTCACCAGCTGCAGTTAGCAGCCGTCTCCTGACCCAATCCGATAGCTAGGATCGAGATTGAGCTTGTTCTTCGTGTCAGCAGCGTCATCGACGTACCGCTGCGCAAATGAGAGCTCAGTCAATCTACCCCTTAAACGGTAGTTAGAACAGTCACATCGCCATCTTGATGTGCTGGATACTTCACGCTGAGTTCGAATTTCCAGGAGAAACTCGAGCTCGAAATCCATCCGCTTTACCACGGCGGAGTGGATCAACAACACCATGTTGTTGTTGTCATCTTCCAAATCGCATCGTCCCGTCATTGCAGCTCGATGTGGGTGTAAGCGCAGATCACGGCTTCGCCCTGCTCTACACTACGCGATATCTTCACTGCGAGAACGATGACGCTTTGGGCTCATAACCTACGAACTGAGGTCGATGTGAAGGATGACATGGTGGGGAGTTCGACGTAAAAGTATGAACTAAAATAGAGGGGAATTACGCTACGAGGTAGATCTTCATTAGGGTTGAGGTTGATCTCGATGTGTCAACTCGATCACATCTCACAAAACCTACCGGTACTCTATTATGCAGAGCGATTGGTACGTCCTGGTAGCAAGTCCGTCGGTTGAGCTCGACGTTGGAACTGCTTACTGAACAACGTGGGATGAACCTAGCTAGTAGGCAACATCAGAGATGCACCTACGAGCAGGCAATGTGTCTTCCTTGTCGCTACCAAGCTAGCTAGTAGGCAGTCCATTGCGTCAACTTACTTGGGCTGGGGATCCCCACTCAATCTCTTCCTTTTGCCTTTCTACACTTACTTCACAAACCTCGATCAATTATTGTCCAACTTGCTTGTCCTTTCGGCACCACTTACTTTGTTGGATTCTTGTTGTTGTTGGGATCTGGTTGCGGCAGCAGGCCAGCTGTTGCAAATGTCAGGAATGCAGTGTGCCCTCTCATGTTCGTAAAGGGCCTTGCAACCACCATCTTTCTTTGTTTACTGCTTGCATTGACTGCCGTCGTTGGTGACGTCTTTTCTTTCTTGGCAGTGGCAGCAGTACTAATGGGAGTTGCCTTGGCAGCCTCGATAGCATCCTCCACTTCGTCTGGTCCCGCCGTCAAGGATATTTCTGCTTCGGATACTTGTGATTCTTCATTGTCGGCTTCTGCACCCGTATCCTCATCTCCGACCATTGCAACCGTAATATCGTCTGTGGTTGCCTTGTCGTTATTATTATTCATTCTGGATCGATCATGTGGATTGGGATCGACTTTGGGTCGTTTGGCGCGCGGCGGTGGATCCATGTCGTATTCGTGTACGTAGTTTTCTCGCAAACGAAACTCGAATGTCTTGAGCGAGTGAAATCCCGCCTTTCGCATGGCCGTGACGGTTCGTTGTGTCTGTTCGACACAGGGACTGTAGGATGCCAATCGTCCATCGGGTTTGAGGCAGAATGCCGCATGCGGAACGGCCAACCAGGGTTCTGGCAAGTCGAGAAAGATGGCATCGACCGATTGTCCCAACAGACCAAATCCTCCTTGGACTTGTTGTGGTGATGACGATGATGATGATGATTGTTGTGGTGGTGGTGTATCTTCTTCTTTCTTATTGTCTTTGGTGTCTTCTTTTTCACCTGGTTTGTAATTTTCAATAACGGGTGCCTTGCCACAGACATCTTTGTGATAAACCTCGACCAAATGCGACAATCCATTCTCGGCAAATTCCTGTCTTGCTTGCGTAGCTCGTTGATGATTGAATTCAAACGTATGGAGTTTCCCAGCCGGCGAAATGGTTCTCATAATGGCATGACTCATGGCCCCCGATCCGGTTCCTGTTTCACAGACCACCATGTTGGGCCGTAACTGGAGATAGAAACAAATCATACTGGCATCCAATTCATGGACAATTTGCGTGCGATGATTGACCGATCGAGACCACAACTCGGGCGTCGGTTTGAGCAAGAAGCAATAGCCGTATCCTCGATTGTTGCGCGATCGGATCTTGCAGCCAAACGGTTTGCCAATAAAGTCGTCGTGATGAAAGTGACCATTGCGATTGTTGAAAATTTCCTTGCTTTTGGCATACACAAAATTCAAATTGTCAAAGGATTCAAAGATGACTACCAACGATCCCGGTTGAATTGTATCACTGGAGGGTGTCATGGATTCTTGGAACCGAGTGGCATCAATCAGACGAGGATCTACATCCGCCAGACCTGGACCCAACAACAAATCTTGAGCGGCTTGATTCGCCGATGCAATCACACGGTCGTCCAACGACTGGTCATCCTTCTTCTTCTTGTCGTTGTCCGGCAACGCAATGTACCGAATATTGGAGCGACTCGCCACGGACTCGTGGTAAATGTGGGGACGAGAAAAGTCCATGGTGTGTTCAGCAATTTTAAAAAACCAATAGATTAAAGAGATGAGCTAGACTACCGGTATCGGCTGGCTAGACTAGCTACAGTGTACTTAACCAACTTGTGATTTGTGATGGGTTGATGTTGTGCTTCATGGTTGCTTGGCCCCGAAATCCTTGGGACACTGAGCCCTAAACTAAGCCGGCAGAGCGGCTAGAAACTAAACACCGAGGTCTCGTCCTCAACCTCAGCCCTTCCGACAACCTTGCTGGAGGCAGGGGTTTCTTCGTATCATACAATGATTGGCTTCGCACTGATAATGCTACACAAATAATTAAAAGGAGTGGGCAATCCGCAATATTATACATCCCAGGATCCATACTAGCTAGCATGAGGTTGGGGCGTGGTGATCTACTAGCACCAACACCAGAACTGCTGGATCCCAGGGACTTCCCGCGTTCTTGGAGGCAGATGGGTGGTCACAAGGAAGCGCCTACCAGTTCTGGCTACCTATGCCAAGAGCAAATACCCCGGTATGACTAGAGTCTGTGTTGCTAGGCTTGCTATCGCCTTACTCGAAAGAACCAGCAAATCTACGGTACCCCGCACATGTATGTGAAGTCCTGGTTGGCTGTGGCTGCAATCGGCTGCGAAAGAAGCTTCAAGCATTGAAGTTGGCTTTCTCTACAACCACGTTCTCTCAACTGGTGCAGCTGCTGTATCCTCCACTTTGCAGCCAATCCAAGGGCTGCTTTGTAAGGTGTCCTTGTCATTGGTCGACCTCGAAGCGAAACCCTAACCCCAATCTAAACGAATGTCTGACCGTGATCGAAACGGCCAATAGGACTGGATTTTTCGCTTACCGTGTTACTCAAAATCTCCACGCCAAAACTGAACGGCTCTGGAGCTACCAAATGGCTATTTCATTAGAGCTAAGGATTAAATTTTGCGAGAGAAATAGCATACTTTCTCATAAAGAGATACCTTCAACATATTCATTGCTGTATACCCCTATAGATGCAGTTCCAGAAATCCGACATTGAGGAGTTATTAGACAGTGCCAAACGGCACTAACAGTACATTCTCGAGGACCAACCAAGTCGAAGGACGGTTGCCTCCGAAACAAAGACAGGGTTCTCGCCGCGAAGGACGAGCATTTGCAAGAAAGAAAGAAAAACTGGGCATCTCAACTCAATCACTAACACTGGACACCAAGCTGCATAGCTTTGAACGCGACAATCTACACTTCTTCTATTGGTCTTTTAGCTGGCCTAATATCATACAATACACAGCACATCGGGTGAGCATTATTCATTGAAGGAGACTTTTGGCAATGCGCGGTTATCCTTTGCAGAGAGATCGTGGAGCTTTTCTGTAGCGAGCACTGGATCGTGTCGACCTCCATCCATCCTGAGGCAACTTTTCAGGGAAGCAATGCGAGGAACTGCAGAAGAAGCTGACAATCTTGAAGAAGCAATGCAAGATTGAACCGCATGTGGTCCTTAGGCCATGCTAGATACCCTCTAGCGATTGGCCTTATGGATCCACGATCTTCTGAAAGATACAGTGATGGGTAGCATATCTTTGGGTGGGAATACCACCCAAACTACCAGCCCTAGAGTGGATCTTCCTGGTCAAGATTCTCGACGACCGCTTGGGAAACATATCCACTCTTTGGAACATCACTGTTATCTCAGATTCGCTTCCCATTAGTCTCAACAAGTTGCTCCCCATCTACCCCTCCAAGAAAGCATTGGATAATGCAATGGGCGTAGTTCTGGAAGACTGACTCAGGATGGTGGGATCAAGAACTTGCTTACGCTGCTGCATGCATCCAACGGTTTCCTTGTTCTCTCGGAAGGCTGTTGGGTAGCTTGACCGTGTTGTGCTTTTCTCTTGGGGTGGCGTTCTCATGTAGTCTCATTTTTCTCTTCTTCACCTGCTCCCTCCCTTGCCGCCTCTACAGAATTATGAGCGACGGAAACACTTTGATTGGAAACGCCATGGTTGGACATGCCATGGACACTGAGGTGGGAACCACAAAGGGGGAGACCTATCTTGCTGGGGATGAGGAGATCGTGATTGCTCAGGAAGAGGAACGCATCATGTCGGGGGAAGTGACTAGTGAAGAGGATGAGAAAGTGGAACAGCACATGCTGACTGTTGCATTGGTCAACAGCGTCGTAGAAACTTCAGCTCCTCAGAGTCCAGCGACAGGGGGCAACAAGTCGCAGGACGAGTCAAAGCAGCGTTATAGCTTGAGAAAGCGAAGACGTTCCGGGGCATCCTTGGAACGGCCCAGTGCCAATCCTGGTACTGCCAAGGCCGCACAAACAAAACGACCGCCAATAGCAACAACCAAACAATCTGCACCGATAACACCAGCTCCGGCGTCTCTCCGACAACCCACAACAGCTAGTAAACAACCAATAGCAACGCCGATAGTCAAGACAGAAGCTGTCCCTGCTTGCACTGTAGCAGTGGCAGCTGCACCCCTTCCCGTTCCCTTGGGTGTTGCATCAGTTCCAAAAGCATCTTCCCTCCCTCCAGCTCTACAACCTCCCCTCCGACCAAAGATTCCACCCATGCCTTCTCCCAGAGCACCGGCAGCGGCTACAACAGCTCGAACCAACGACAAGTCAAAGCGATTAGTTCCTGCGACACGAGTGATAGTATCATCCCAACCGTTGACCCCCAACCCGGCCGCCACGGGCGTGCCAAATCCACTCATCAATCCGCTTCCAGCATCCAACTCGCCGTCCATGGCAGGCAAAGAAGCACCGGAGAACGCGACGCTGGAAGCAGCGCCAGCGTTCAAAGCTGGAACAAAGCTTACCGTTCCTTGTCCTCTCCCACCTGCAACGTTCGAGAACAATGTGCAACAAGGTGTCGTCAATCGACCGCCACCTACCGTCAAGTTTGACACCGAACCGGTCCAAGAAAAGAAGAAAGTCACCATTGCACCCGACCTTCCCCCGTCTCGTGGCAGAATCTTCTCCATTGATCTAGATCGTAAGTTCATCACAAACTCATGTGTCATCTTCGTAGACAATCCAGGCCCGTCGTCTCTCACGCAATATTCGTTTCCCTCTCTCCCCACACCTACCACCATCAGCTGCGTCGCTGGATTTCTCCGTGTTGGATACCGGCGAGTCTGGAACTCCTGCGCCAGCTTCTGCGGACCTGCCGCTCGTAACGGGTGGCGGACGTGACCGTGCTTTCTCGTTTGAGTGTTTTGCTTTTGGTATCAACGCCGATGAGCCCCTCCCGCCTCTGGGCGCGGAACACGAAACGTCGGATCCCCATCAGCACCTTCTTCCGAGACCACGAGGAGACTCCATTATCTTTGATCCCACGAGCTTCCAGGAGGGCGGCATTCATGAGGAACGTGCTCTCAAGACTAGAGAAAGCCGGGGGTTGTCCATCGATCTGAACACCAATGCAGATATCATCCCTTCGGCCCCACCTGCCCAAGACTCTGTATCGTTTGCTAACCATCCGGGATCCGTGGAGCACGGACATGCTCCAGCATCTGTAGCGTCCATGCCTGCCGCCCCCGCAAACCAGCCACCACCCACACAACCTCACCCTGTGCCACATTCTACCCTCCCCGACAGCGCTCCTTCCAGTGTGCGAATGGGAGTGGCTCAGCATCCTCACCACCACGCTCGTCCTCACGCATCGGCGGCGCCGCCTCCGCACCATCATCATCCCGGAGCATATCATCACCATGCCCCGCCACCTGGTTCCAACGCAGTTGTTCCTAATCCGGCTGCCCCTCCGGCAGTGGTTGCTTCCTCGGCAACTGGGTCGGCCGTGTCCATTATTGGTTCCTGTGCTTCGTCTACCACGTTGCAAATGGAGTTGCTGAACAAGGATGGGAGGATTGGCATCTACCTTCCGGAAGCTCGAAAGGAACGCATTGCTCGTTTCCATGCCAAGAGGAAGATGCGTATTTGGCGCAAGCGAATCAAGTACGATTGTCGCAAGAAGCTGGCCGACAGCCGTCCGCGTATCAAGGGTAGATTTGTCAAGCGAACGGATAATGATTAAACATGCCCGTTTTGCTTGGTTCAATCGATGCTTCTTCTTGGTAGCCGGTGTTGCCATAACGACGCAGAAACTATCAGCTAGAGTTGCAAAGGGCTGACTGAGTAACTAATTGTTTTCTACTCTCTGCTCAAACGGCATGATCGCAAGAATGCATCATCGGACGAGAAATTCAGAACATGGACTATGGTTGACTAGCTTTTGGTTAATTTCTGTAACTTTCAACCTTTCTGATGCCTACAGTACACTGAGTATTGCAGAGCTTGTGTCGGATTGTTTTCATAGCTACTTCCTTTTCCCTGAGAAACAATAATACTGTCCACCTCCATTGCTCCATGTAGTAATATCTCCTTATTACAGATAGATTATTTCAAAAACGCCCAAAAGGACGCTCCAGTGGAAAGGGAGTAGACAACGTTGGTTGACAACCCCAAGACAATCGAGGACCAGACCAAAGTCAACGTCAAAGACTTGTTATCGAGGGTTGTGTAATCGTACTTGATTCCCTTCTTTTCCATTTCGAATCGATTGAAAGCCCAATCGTTGGGGTTGGCCAAATAAAAGTCCATGTTTCCCTGTCCTTCCATTCGGTCGCATTTTTCACTGGCCATGAATTTGAGTACGGCTTGTTCGTAATCGGCGGCCTTGAAGACGCGGTTGTAAAAGGGAATGGGTCCATGGAGGAGGAGGGTCTTGCCGGCGCCATATCCTGCCTCGGGGCCTTCTTCGGGGCTGCTGGGAGCCCATTTTTCACCGTCCCACTTGGGTGCCATGGAGAGACTGCTGGTACTACCAGTAGTGCGCTGTTGCACAGGAGCAAAGGCGGCGCAAACGCCCACCAACAAGGCGGCCAGGATGATTCGAGTGGTCATGGTGGATTAATTTCTAGCGTGGGATGAACCAGGTAAATGAAGAAGTGAAAAAAGTATTCTGTTTTGAGCTACATACTACGTATCGATGCATCATAGCTACTGCAACGCAACGGCTCCACAACAGAGCAATGGGTGTTGGCTCGAACACGTACCCCCCCTGGATCCGCGACTGCTGAGTCGTAAAATGACGTCAGACTTCTCAACCGCACGATCTTTGTGCGCAGCCGTCAAAAGATCTGCCGACCGCTTGTTTTTCTTTTTCGTCGCTTTCTCATTCCCCCCCGAGCCCGAGAGTTGTTCGCTGGTGGTAGCATTACAAACAGAAGGGCTGCTCTTGATCGAGTTCGTTGTTTCCTTGTCATCATCTATCTTTCATCCATCTCTTCTTCGTTATCCTTCAAAAGCAATTGAAAGAAAAAGATGGCAACTCTTCTTGTTAGACGAGGTATCCCAGCGGCTACCCGCGCCAACATTCGCCAATTCCATTTGATGGCTGGTCGGTCCACATCGGTGCTTCCTACTACTACTGCAACCGCCACAGACACTACCAACCAAAGATTCTTTGCCACTTTTGAGCGTAAAAAGCCTCACATCAACATTGGGACGATTGGACACGTCGATCACGGCAAGACGACCTTGACCCAAGCCATTACCAAGGTTCTGTCCGAAAAAGGATGGTCCGAAGCCTTGACGTATGAAGATATTGACCGTGCTCCAGAAGAAAAGACACGAAAGATTACCATTAATACGACCCACTTGGAATATGAAACGGAAAATCGTCATTATGGACACATTGATTGGTAAGTCAAGTAAAAAGCAAAGCAAATGCAAGGCAAAGGAGTCCTGTAGCGACTTTTTGTCATCATTGTCCCCCCTAACCACAATAATACAATACTACGTGTACAGCCCTGGTCACGCCGATTACGTCAAGAATATGATTACAGGTGCCGCACAAATGGACGGAGGCATCTTGGTAGTTGCCGCCACGGATGGTCCCATGCCACAAACCAAGGAACACATCTTGCTTGCCAAACAAATTGGTATCCCCAACTTGGTCGTTTTCCTCAACAAGTGCGATTTGGTAGATGACGAAGAACTACTGGAGTTGGTAGAAATGGAAGTCCGTGAATTATTGGACTTTTATGAGTTTGATGGAGAGGCTACGCCCATTGTCCGTGGGTCTGCCTTGGCGGCGGCCGAAGGAACCAATGACGAATTGGGAAAAAATGCCATTTTAGAACTCATGGCTACCGTGGATGAACACATTGAAGAACCAACTCGTGATGTGGACAAACCATTCCTCATGCCCATTGAGGATACATTCTCCATTGCCGGACGTGGAACCGTCGTCACAGGAAAGGTCGAATACGGAAAAGTCAATGTCGGTGACGATTTGGAAATCATTGGGTACAACAACAATCACAAAACCACCATTACGGGAGTAGAAATGTTCCGAAAGAATCTGGATTACGGCATGGCCGGAGATAACATTGGTGCCTTGGTCCGTGGATTGAAGCGAGAAGATATCCGACGTGGACAAGTATTGTGTGCACCTGGGACACAAAAAGTGGGTAAAAAGTTTGAAGCCGAAATCTACTGTCTCAAGCAAGACGAAGGTGGTCGTCACACTCCATTCGTAGGCAAGTACCGTCCGCAATTCTACATTCGAACGGCCGATGTCACGGGATCCATCGAGTTGAAGGAAGGTACCGAGATGATCATGCCAGGTGATAATGCTTCCGTTGATGTGGAGCTCATTGCTCCTATCGTTCTGGAAGAGGGAGTCCGTTTCAATATGCGAGAGGGTGGAATGACAGTTGGCACTGGTGTGGTAACCAAGGTGGAATTTGAAAAGTAGAATGCAACATGAGGATCGATCCATTCTCACTATCAACTACCCACCCGAAACGAGAGACAACTCATACCGTACATAATCAACTCACTCGGATGAACCAAAAGGGAATGAATAGTACCATGTCATGGCATTTAGTGGTCCACATACTGTACATGCAAGCTGCAAGCGTCACGGAAGTTTGTGTAGTCGAAGTTTGATTGATAGAGTGGTGACTCTCTGGCAGCTCGCAAGTTCCTTGTGACGGCGTCAGGGCACCTGCCTGCTACGTAGACGAGCTGCACGTTTTGCCCCCGCTTTCACATTCGCGATGGGGAGTATCAGTGCTTCTGTAGTTTGCTAACAGCAGCAAGCAAGCTCTGGTATCTGAAGAAGTCTGACAAGCTCCATTCCCTGCGAGTATCCAATCCATTGGTGCACCAAAGTGGGGAGGTTTCTCTAGTTCGCAACAACGGGTAAAAGCTAAGCTTAGTATCATCGGGCCCATGGTCGAAACGGTCACAGCTACCGTATAGTAGGACTTTCGCTACTTTTCGCTTGTTTCTACCTCATCTTATGTTTCGAAGCACTACCGAATGGCCTTTTCTCAAGCGAGAGGACTCCAAGTAACAACCAGCTTGACAAGGCTGCTGGCAATATGTAATGTTTTTAAAAGCTGGGACTCTCTTGCTGGTGGTTACTCCAGTTTGGGTAATGGGATTTTCTCAAACAAGAGGCGGTGCTTCTCCAAAAGTTTTACAAACTCTTCTTCTCCAATGGTGCCATTGTCATCTTCATCTAGTTCATTGATCAATTCTCCAATTTCGTCCACTGTGAAACCTACATTGAAAGAATCCAACACTTGTTTGAATTCACTCATGGAGATCTCACCGCTGCCATCAGCATCAATTTGACGAAACATCTGCGATCAGCGCAACACAGTGCAAGTGAGGAGTCTGTTGGCAAAAGCAGTGCTGCAAACAATTCCAATAACTTACAGTCTCAGCAAGATGGTGAATTCCATGGTCGTCCAGTTGAATCATGATGTGATCTCGGTAGAAGTTCATGAATTCCTCTCGAGAGATGCTACCATCACCATCTTCATCCAATACAGCAGTCATGGCTTTGAGACTTTCCTCCGTGGCAGCTACTCCAAGTCCCTTCAACACAGCACCAAAATCTGAAGTTTCAATGGTACCACTCTTGGATACATCAATGGCATCAAAAGTTTTTCCACATGCTTCTAGATCCACCGAAGAGAAGTACTCACCACTGGATTGTTTGCCAGTGTGGGCATGGTCTGGATCCTCTTCTTTGAATGATACTGTATTCTGCAGCCTATGCATCGTGACCATTGCTTGAATGATATGGGATACTTTGTCATCACGAATTACCTGAGAAATAACACCTGGGCGTCGGTGGACCCCAATACTGCAGGCCATAACATAGTTTGAAACTGCTGTTTGGTACTTGCTCAAGAGCAGATACATAGGCAACAAGGATAGCACGAGAAAGAGAACCCTCTCAACTATTGGCGTCCCCATCTTCATTCTGAAAGGAAACATGATCAGCACCAACATCGATACATATGTAGCTGTGAATACCATTTGGACCTGGAAGACAATCATGTAACACCTGGGTCCTTTCCGTTCCATCCAGTACAGAGCATCTTGTCTTGTTATCTTGGAATTGCCCCGAAGAAAAAGGCGAGCCAACAGTCCCCTGGAATTCTGAGTGTAATCATCCAAGTCAATGCGGGTCCAGTCAGGCAATTCCTTGCTTCCTCCCATTATTAATGGACCCCGCTCACTTTGTCTTGTACTTTTGATTGGTTGAAAGTTGGCAGCCATGGCTTCCAAGATCTCAACCATGTGGTAGTCAAAGAAGGCACCAAAAAGGAAAACGAGCCATCCAGTCCCCACCCAAATCCAAGAAAACCACTGTAGGTGTCATCCAAAATTTATGAGACCTGATTGAAGGAAAACTGAAAGCAAAAAATGACATGCTCCTTACCTCTAGCTGATCCTCAACAACCAAAGCAATCATCCAAAAAATAGCTGTGATGACACCAAGGATTACCCATGTGTGAATTTGCAAATGGACAATGTGTCCCAATTCATGATACATGCACACACAGAGATATCTTCCAAAATCAAACTCATCTGGAACAAGGTTCTGTTCATGAGGGAGAAACGGGGGATCCAAGCTTCTTTCAACCACAAATTCATGCCTAAGGCCGCGAAATAGCTGCAACTCAGACCTAAGTTTTCTCTTGGATTCTCGGAAGGGAGTCATTTCTCGACCAAGGTACCTAAGGAAGGTTGTTTTCTCTTCGGATTTAGAGTGTGATGCCAAGATTGCATTCATCTCTGCCATGTAAGCATCATCCCTGCATGCTCTGTTGTAAATCCACCAAGTCCGTTTCATGTGTTCTGCATCTTTCACAAGTACAAGCACATTAATTCCAAAGAAAACCATGATAAAAAACAGCATGTAGTGGACCAATTCAAAAGTTTCAAGCAGCTCTTCTTCTTCATCATCCCCAAACAGCTTCTCTGAGAGAAGGGTAAACCATCCAAGCTTGGTGACGCAAAATGTACAAACTGAAAGAAAGCCCAGCACAGTTAATTCACCAAACAAGCCTTCAATGACCGGCATCATCTCCCTATCCGCAGCTTCCTCGATAGATTCCTTGATCTCTTCAAAACAAATTGTCAGAGCAATCAAGAACAAGACAATCACAGTCACAGTTGTATCTCTGATGACAACCTCCCCCTCGTGACCTTCCGAAGAGGCCGCATCCCCTGACAGGGGTTCTTCCACAGCGTGGGCAAGCATGCGAGGCTGAGACGGCTCATTTCCACCATTGATGGCAGCCGCGAAGATGTAATGAAGAAAGGCACCGAGCGCCAACGTCTTCCAGTGTATGTTGAGCTTGGACATGGTCGTAATCAAACAACAGCAAACCCAAAATGTGAGAAAACGAGGTGGGATTTTTTTGGCTGGGTTTTTGGTGGTGTTTCCGATGCTACCGGTACTACAGAAGCCGGTGACAAGGACGATGTGCGGTACAAGCGGGTACCTGGTACCAGGTACCAGCGAGAAAAGTGTCAAGCATTGGGTTGGGTATTCAGAGAAACCCGAGTATAATGGTACGTAATGTAAAGAGAAATAATTACTTCACCTTCCTAGACAAAAGATACTGCCACAGGTCAAGTACCGGCCACACCTCTCACGCGACGAGACCTTTTGCTTCCGAGTCTTGGCTTGGGTTGTTGAAGTTCTGTCCATTTCCAAAGACCAAGAATGCGTCTGAGATTCTCTCAAGTGCAAAAGCAGAGCTAAAAGTGGAGAGATCGTTGCTTCCCCTGCGCCCAAAAGAATCAAGCCCACGTGAAGGAACAGTGCAGTGGGCTCTACTAGCTAGCAAGCTAGCTCTAGCTACGACGGCATCTTAGTGGCAAGCTAGCTAGCACTGAGCTTTGACGCGAAGGGGTACCGGTACAAAGAAGAGGGCGATTCGCGGCTGCTTGGGCAGCTTTCAGCTACGAAGTTTACCATAGCTACTCGTGGGTCTCACCGGTAGGTCAAGGCACACTACCAGCTGCAAAAACTGGTACATGTATGTACGTATACCACCTGCTGCGGAAGATCTCGCTTCCGGTCCCTGCAATACCTTGGGTATGGCAAAAGAAGGAAGACCATCACGCTATGCTGTCTACTAGTCTAGGGCACTAACCAGCGTTGTACCGGTAGGGCTGAAATTCGATTTTCATGATGGAACGCATCTCCCATGGTACAGTATGGCTTCGCAGTCAAACCCAAACGGACACAATAGACTACATAGACCACCAAATAACCTCTTTCCACACCAGATCGTGTCGCAACCCGCCCATTTCTCGGAAGCCGTTCTGTCGACATTACTCATCTGGCCCAAGGGAAAGCATATCGGCATTGAGCACACCAAAAGCAGAAACAAACGGGCGGGCCACAGCACCGGAGAAATTAGGTTGTCTGCTCAAAGTCCAATGACTCCACCATAGACAGCTCCGAAGACAAAGGCTGGCAACTCATATCTCAAACGGGTCTTCCAATCAGCCTTGAAAACACATTGAGTCGACGCTGTTTGCTTTGAGGTAGGTTGGTCACACTGTTTGTTGTCCATGAGAACAGAAGCGTTTGGCAAATCTTTTGGAAGAGGTTTGGCGGGAGCCAGAGCATGGCTTGTTGCATCATTCTCAAAGTGCCCATGAGATCCAGACACCGTGGTGACACGGTTTGACCAGACTGCCATTCAAAGTAGCCATCCTTGGCAGATTGTTCCATACAATACCGGTATCCTTGCTATCGGTATGACCATGAAATTTTTTAAAAAAATGAGAAAGAACCCGGACGATCCGGCAATTAGCGCGAATGCTAAAATGACATTTTTTCACGACTGAACAAATGCATGTTTCAATCTAGTCGTGACAACGCGAGATATAAGATACCATACAGTCTCCTAAATCCAGACGATCTCCTAAATAGTCTCCTAAAACCGGTGCGAATCGCCAAAACGGTCTCCTATTTTGAAACGGTCTCCTATTCGATCTCCTATTCGAAACGGTCTCCTATTCGAAACGATCTCCTATTCCATCTCGTCGCGATGCCTCTACTATTAATAGCTCGCTTGCTATTACCTGTAGCACCAGTGAAGAGACCAACAATGGCTAGTGCACTACGCTAAAAGCTAGTGTAAAGATCTTTCGAGTGTTTTGAGTTTGAGAGAATGAAAGTTATGAGAGAGATTAGAAAGCTATGAAAACTAATCAACGAGAGAGATCATCATCAAGGGATCGTAGATCTGGCTTCCCGCGGGAGACTATAAAGTGTGATAGAGTAGGTTGCGGTAGTAATCCTACGTCTCTCCACGATCCTAAAACGGAACGCGTGGAAGGTTTGTCTAGCCTGGATCTAGTAGCGTGGAAGTACTCCACGCTAGCTAAATATCTAGAGCGATGTTTCATCATCAACCTAGTATGACTAGCTCGGTCATTGAGAAACCTGTCTCAAATGACTATTCACGAGAGACTCAGTCATGAGTCGAACTCAAACCCTATCTAGGATCGAGTCGCGAATAAGGCTAAGAGCCGTGTATTGCAACTGCTACCGCTGCCGCTACCGCTACTATTTTAACTAACAACAATCCATTGGTCGTCGATACCGCTAGAAGAGTGCAAGCTTATTGGAGTGACAGGATCCACCCCCTACCGGAGCAGCCAACCGGAGCAAACACCACAGCAAATTTTGCCATTCGATCGAAAAGATCGAACGACGCACTACCAACACTGCGCCGACAAGAACAAAGAGTTGGCTACAATTAACGAACAACAACGAAAGGATCGACAGCATCTTATCACGTCGATCAGTCCAAGCCACTGGCTGCGAACAGCGGACAACTCCCAGTAGCCTCAATGGCTGGGCAGCAGCACTCGGCACCTCCTCACAGAGTTTGAAGATGCCATGCTGGCTAGTAGAGTGGTCTACAAATAAATTGCTCGAACATGCGGTGCTTTCAATCATCGAATTTGACTTGCTTCCGGGAAACAAAAAAGAAACAAAAAACCTCGACCATGGCGCTCGAAGCCGGCTCCCAGCAACGGCACTTCAGGTTTTCATGTAAAGCAACATTGTGGATGTCAATTTTACTTGTAATAGAACTGATATATAGTCTCCAATGGGTTACCCCTACCTATTTTAATGGCTTGGAGTACTAAAATTTCGATAGTACTCCAAAAAATTGATGGTCGCCATTGGCTGTGGGGTCCCAGAATCGTCATGGGGGAAAATGCCAAATTCAATTCTGTTAAATGTAAAAATGCTTGCTTCTCATCCTGAAAGCAAGCATGACCTCTTACCAAGCAATGCCCTCACCCCAACATCAGACAGCTGTCTTATGTCTTATGGATACGACAGCTGCCTTATGCATGAGACAGCGGTCTGAAAGCTCGATTAGCATCTCGCATAACACAGCGGTCTTAGACTACCCATGCTGTGAGACCGCTGTCTTGCCGGTCTTAAGACAGTTAAGACAGTCATCTTATCAGACGGCAGTCTTATCCATGAGACAGCAGTTTCAACCTTCAAGGACACGCAGGGCACTACAAAGAGAGAGACTGCCGGAAATTCAATTTCATAGAATTGACAATGCAGAAAATGATAAAAAGGTCAATATAAGCTCGAGAAGCCTTTTTACCTCGAGGTTCAGTTTCAAAAAACTCCGAATCTTTGGTGAAATCAGAAATTAGGGCCTCTTTGGCAATGACGTGTTCCGAAGGTCACCCCAAAGAGGCTTTTGCGGCATAACCGAATTCGGCTTCTTGCAAACTCTTGAAATAGGTTTTTGCAGGGGGCAAATTCGGTTTTTGATTCGTTGATTGATTTGATTGGTCGATTTGAATCTAACAGGAACCAGTACTTAACTTCAAGTTTGACTTCAAACTTGTTAATTACACTCAAGCCAGCCGGCCCAGCAGTCTGCAACAGAAGCTTGCCGCAAACACTCCAAAATTGGATTGTAGAAATTTTCCGGAGTAGTTGAAAATGGGTATAGGAGGAGGCCACTTTTGTTGTTCGGTTCGGCCTTCCCGAAGTCCAATTTCCCAATCTGAAAAACGTTGTTGGGACTGAGCCTCAATGGCCGTGACCTCCTTCATTTTTTAAAGTTGTGGATTCAGCAGCTATGACACCGAACATTCAAGATATCTGGCTGGTACTAGCTAATAATAGAGTAGCTTTTAGTAGCTTGTTGCTTAGCAGGTGTTGAGCTGGCGTCAAGTTACATGTAGCCAAAGCCAGTTAATAGCTCTACTAATAGCTAGCATCTATTTCAAAAGGCAAGCTGAGAATGGCATACCTCTGCAAATTTGGAAACACTGCTCTCCAACACTGCTCCCAAACACTTCTCCCCAACACTTTCAGTATTGTACTAGCTAATAAGTATTACTTCTGAATTATCATTAGACTTTCTTTTATGAGTTTTGCAGACAATTTTCGTTGACGATTTTTGTGTGCACCGCACCACACTGCACCGTACTGCACTGCAATGTACGAATCTAAAGCTTCCAAGGAATGCAATATAAATTTAAAAAATATGGCACGATGAGACGAATCGATTGAATCATATCTGCATGTACTATTCATCAGGGGGGTGGAGAAAATCAATACCAGCCCATGCTCACAAATATAAGAGAGAGACGTCTGGATAACTGAATTTGAATATGTACCTCTTCTACCTTCACAAGATGATTGGCGGTCATCTCGAGAGGTTTCTGGAGCTTCCCTCAATCATGTGATGGAGAAATCCGACCCTAAATCCGACCCTAAATCTTTGAAACCCGTCCCTAATTCTATTGGAGAATAGGGTCGGGTTCGAAAGAGTCGGTTTTGAAACCCGACCCCAAATTAGGGTCGATTTTAGTCCGTTTCATTTAGGGTCGTGTTTCAAACCCGACCCTAAATCGAAATCCGACCCTAATTTAGGGACGGTTTTTCAAACGCCCTATTAAGGCGTCTTTTGGCGTTTTAAACCCGACCCTAAAGTGAAACCGCTTCCCTAAATTAGGGTCGTTTCGATTTAACTTCATACACGATTGAGGAACGCTCCTGGTTGGTAAGAATCGTTTCGATCTGAACAAAGACTGCCGACGTTGTGGGCTTCCAGTGTCCAAACACGTAGATTGGTTCGTGCGTGCCATCCCCTGAGAGAACTTTGTCTCCCACCACGAGATCTTTCATTGCCGCTGTGCCCTGGTTCAGCACTTGGACCATGGAAGTGGCAGAGAAACATAGAGTTGTGGATCCTCCTGCATCGTTAGGATCACAGTTTGAATCAACATAGCAGTACTGTGCCCCAACGCAAAGGTTTAAACCTTGGTTGGCGTTGCTGCACTTGTTGCAATATCCATAACACTCGCGGTTATAGCAACGTCTTTCTCCTTGACCTGAGTCGTTCTCTAAGCGTCGAATCCTCAGGCTTGTGGCCCTGCTGTCCTCATGCTGGGACCGTACGGTATGTATTTCCCTTTTGAAGATACATGTACTGGTACTCAGGGCTAAGATAGA